CAAAACTCTGGATTCTGATAGAGGGCCATGAGACTTAGACCTGAGTGCAAAAATGGAGGCTCTAGACCCTTCCAGAGCTGAGATATGGAAATTCAAAATTTCGACCCGAAAAAAAAAAACGACAGTGTTACCCCTTTCGTTTTTTTTTTTGGGGGGCGAGAAATTAAGTTTCTCCAATCTTCTCAAAACTCTGGATTCTGATAGAGGGTCGTGAGACTTAGACCTGAGTGCAAAAATGGAGGTTCTAGACCCTTCCAGAGCTGAGATATGGAAATTCAAAATTTCGACCCGAAAAAAAAAAACGACAGTGTTACCCCTTTCGTTTTTTTTTTTTTAGGGCGAGAAATTAAGTTTCTCCAATCTTCTCAAAACTCTGGATTCTGATAGAGGGCCACGAGACTTAGACCTGAGTGCAAAAATGGAGGCTCTAGACCCTTCCAGAGCTGAGATATGGAATCTCAAAATTTCGACCCGAAAAAAAAAAACGACAGTGTTACCCCTTTCGTTTTTTTTTTTTTGGGGCGAGAAATTAAGTTTCTCCAATCTTCTCAAAACTCTGGATTCTGATAGAGGGCCATGAGACTTAGACCTGAGTGCAAAAATGGAGGCTCTAGACCCTTCCAGAGCTGAGATATGGAAATTCAAAATTTCGACCCGAAAAAAAAAACGACAGTGTTACCCCTTTCGTTTTTTTTTTTTTGGGCGAGAAATTAAGTTTCTCCAATCTTCTCAAAACTCTGGATTCTGATAGAGGGCCGTGAGACTTAGACCTGAGTGCAAAAATGGAGGCTCTAGACCCTTCCAGAGCTGAGATATGGAAATTCAAAATTTCGACCCGAAAAAAAAAACGACAGTGTTACCCCTTTCGTTTTTTTTTTTTTGGGCGAGAAATTAAGTTTCTCCAATCTTCTCAAAACTCTGGATTCTGATAGAGGGCCGTGAGACTTAGACCTGAGTGCAAAAATGGAGGCTCTAGACCCTTCCAGAGCTGAGATATGGAAATTCAAAATTTCGACCCGAAAAAAAAACGACAGTGTTACCCCTTTCGTTTTTTTTTTTTGGGCGAGAAATTAAGTTTCTCCAATCTTCTCAAAACTCTGGATTCTGATAGAGGGCCACGAGACTTAGAACTGAGTGCAAAAATGGAGGTTCTAGACCCTTCCAGAGCTGAGATATGGAAATTCAAAATTTCGACCAAAAAAAAAAACGACAGTGTTACCCCTTTCATTTTTTTTTGGGCGAGAAATTAAGTTTCTCCAATCTTCTCAAAACTCTGGATTCTGATAGAGGGCCATGAGACTTAGACCTGAGTGCAAAAATGGAGGTTCTAGACCCTTCCAGAGCTGAGATATGGAAATTCAAAATTTCGACCCGAAAAAAAAACGACAGTGTTTCCCATTTCGTTTTTTTTTTTTTTTGGGCGAGAAATTAAGTTTCTCCAATCTTCTCAAAACTCTGGATTCTGATAGAGGGTTGTGAGACTTAGAACTGAGTGCAAAAATGGAGGCTCTAGACCCTTCCAGAGCTGAGATATGGAAATTCAAAATTTCGACCCGAAAAAAAAAACGACAGTGTTACCCCTTTCGTTTTTTTTTTTTGGGCGAGAAATTAAGTTTCTCCAATCTTCTCAAAACTCTGGATTCTGATAGAGGGCCATGAGACTTAGACCTGAGTGCAAAAATGGAGGCTCTAGACCCTTCCAGAGCTGAGATATGGAAATTCAAAATTTCGACCCGAAAAAAAAAACGACAGTGTTACCCCTTTCATTTTTTTTTTTTTTTGGGCGAGAAATTAAGTTTCTCCAATCTTCTCAAAACTCTGGATTCTGATAGAGGGCCATGAGACTTAGACCTGAGTGCAAAAATGGAGGCTCTAGACCCTTCCAGAGCTGAGATATGGAAATTCAAAATTTCGACCCAAAAAAAAACGACAGTGTTACCCCTTTCGTTTTTTTTTTTTTTTTGGGCGAGAAATTAAGTTTCTCCAATCTTCTCAAAACTCTGGATTCTGATAGAGGGCCATGAGACTTAGACCTGAGTGAAAAAATGGAGGCTCTAGACCCTTCCAGAGCTGAGATATGGAAATTCAAAATTTCGACCCGAAAAAAAAAACGACAGTGTTACCCCTTTCGTTTTTTTTTTTCGGGGCGAGAAATTAAGTTTCTCCAATCTTCTCAAAACTCTGGATTCTGATAGAGGGCCGTGAGACTTAGACCTGAGTGCAAAAATGGAGGCTCTAGACCCTTCCAGAGCTGAGATATGGAAATTCAAAATTTCGACCCGAAAAAAAAAACGACAGTGTTACCCCTTTCGTTTTTTTTTTTTTCGGGCGAGAAATTAAGTTTCTCCAATCTTCTCAAAACTCTGGATTCTGATAGAGGGTCGTGAGACTTAGAACTGAGTGCAAAAATGGAGGTTCTAGACCCTTCCAGAGCTGAGATATGGAAATTCAAAATTTCGACCCGAAAAAAAAACGACAGTGTTACCCCTTTCGTTTTTTTTTTGGGCGAGAAATTAAGTTTCTCCAATCTTCTCAAAACTCTGGATTCTGATAGAGGGCCATGAGACTTAGACCTGAGTGCAAAAATGGAGGCTCTAGACCCTTCCAGAGCTGAGATATGGAAATTCAAAATTTCGACCCGAAAAAAAAACGACAGTGTTACCCCTTTCGTTTTTTTTTTTGGGCGAGAAATTAAGTTTCTACAATCTTCTCAAAACTCTGGATTCTGATAGAGGGCCGTGAGACTTAGACCTGAGTGCAAAAATGGAGGCTCTAGACCCTTCCAGAGCTGAGATATGGAAATTCAAAATTTCGACCCGAAAAAAAAAAAAACGACAGTGTTACCCCTTTCGTTTTTTTTTTTTTTGGGCGAGAAATTAAGTTTCTCCAATCTTCTCAAAACTCTGGATTCTGATAGAGGGTCGTGAGACTTAGAACTGAGTGCAAAAATGGAGGCTCTAGACCCTTCCAGAGCTGAGATATGGAAATTCAAAATTTCGACCCGAAAAAAAAAACGACAGTGTTACCCTTTCGTTTTTTTTTTTTTTGGGCGAGAAATTAAGTTTCTCCAATCTTCTCAAAACTCTGGATTCTGATAGAGGGTCGTGAGACTTAGAACTGAGTGCAAAAATGGAGGTTCTAGACCCTTCCAGAGCTGAGATATGGAAATTCAAAATTTCGACCCGAAAAAAAAAAAACGACAGTGTTACCCCTTTCGTTTTTTTTTTTTTTGGGCGAGAAATTAAGTTTCTCCAATCTTCTCAAAACTCTGGATTCTGATAGAGGGCCATGAGACTTAGACCTGAGTGCAAAAATGGAGGCTCTAGACCCTTCCAGAGCTGAGATATGGAAATTCAAAATTTCGACCCGAAAAAAAAACGACAGTGTTACCCCTTTCGTTTTTTTTTTTTTGGCGAAAAATTAAGTTTCTCCAATCTTCTCAAAACTCTGGATTCTGATAGAGGGCCATGAGACTTAGACCTGAGTGCAAAAATGGAGGCTCTAGACCCTTCCAGAGCTGAGATATGAAATTCAAAATTTCGACCCCAAAAAAAAACGACAGTGTTACCCCTTTTCGTTTTTTTTTTTTGGGCGAGAAATTAAGTTTCTCCAATCTTCTCAAAACTCTGGATTCTGATAGAGGGCCGTGAGACTTAGACCTGAGTGCAAAAATGGAGGCTCTAGACCCTTCCAGAGCTGAGATATGGAAATTCAAAATTTCGACCCGAAAAAAAAAAACGACAGTGTTACCCCTTTCGTTTTTTTTTTTGGGCAAGAAATTAAGTTTCTCCAATCTTCTCAAAACTCTGGATTCTGATAGAGGGTCATGAGACTTAGAACTGAGTGCAAAAATGGAGGCTCTAGACCCTTCCAGAGCTGAGATATGGAAATTCAAAATTTCGACCCGAAAAAAAAAACGACAGTGTTACCCCTTTCGTTTTTTTTTCTTTGGGGGGCGAAAATTAAGTTTCTCCAATCTTCTCAAAACTCTGGATTCTGATAGAGGGCCATGAGACTTAGACCTGAGTGCAAAAATGGAGGCTCTAGACCCTTCCAGAGCTGAGATATGGAAATTCAAAATTTCGACCCGGAAAAAAAACGACAGTGTTACCCCTTTCGTGTTTTTTTTTTTGGGGGCGAGAAATTAAGTTTCTCCAATCTTCTCAAAACTCTGGATTATGATAGAGGGCCACGAGACTTTGACCTGAGTGCAAAAATGGAGGCTCTAGACCCTTCCAGAGCTGAGATATGGAATTCAAAATTTCGACCCGAAAAAAAAACGACAGTGTTTACCCCTTT